TACACATTCCTTCTCTAAATCCATCGCCGATAGAGATCGAAAAAAAATCTATCACTAAATTCCTTCATTAAGCCCAAATGTATATCCTTAATACTATCAATTTTTTTACATATTATGTTCCATCTCTAAATCTATTGTTCCGTCTCTAAATCTATACATATTAGAGACGAAAAAATAGTCATATCTATTAGAGACGAATTCGTGTCTATTAGAGAAGGATTTATTTTTTGTCTCTAAATTCGTCAATAACGGGAACAAAATTATTTTCGTCTCTAATTCCCTCCCTATTTGCGAGGGATTGTTATTCCATCACAGAATCCGATTCTATTAGAGATGGATTTTTTTCGTCTCTAAATTTTGTCTCTAATCCATGCTTTTTTAGTAGTGAGTACATACTATTTGTAGTACATAGTTATTTTGTTGTTGTAGAAATTTCGAGATTTTTTTTTTCCTTTCTTAATATAGAACTTTTGTTCAGGCTTGTCATGATATTTTTAAAAGTATGACCAAGCTTGAAAAACTATTTAAAAGTGTATACTTTACAGTAAGTCTTTTAAATAAATCAACAGGTCTATTTCTATATATGCTAGCGGATCTCAATTTTAATGTATGTCAACGGATTAAACCTTTAAATAGACCAAAAAGTATATAATTTTAAGAATCATAATAAAAATAATTAAAGCAACAGTTATTATTATAATGATATTTCCATTATTCGTTTAAATAGACCGGCTCATTAAACTTAAAATATGAATGATCTAAAGCCTGATTAGTTTAGCAAAATAGACTTTTAAAAAGCCTTGGCCTACCTTATTTAGTAAATAGGCCTAAGTTTCCCAGGGTTAATGTGGATTAGGCTGAAGGTAATAACTATTTTCATCGCAAGTTATATAGTCATGCGCCAAAGGTAAGAATCACTACCATTAATATTTTTTCTTATACACATGATGACATGAATCTCAATATCAAACCTACGATTGCATGCTTCACTCGAATTATTACATGTAAATATAATTTTTATTATTAAAATATATTAAAAATTACTATTAAAAGACATTATAAAATTCTACAGTATCTTACATATTGTAAGAATAAAAACTAAATACCAAAACAAAACTATATAACTAGGATGCTATCTTTTCTTTGACAGAAAAAAAAGTGAATATATTTTTTGGTAGCTAAGATGTTATTCCTTCCTTCCTTTACAAAGTGTTGGCCGAATAACAACGTGGATAATATGTAAAAAATTGTTGTCATAATATTTTGAAAAAAAAAAATTGGTAATAAATTTTCAACGTGGCTAAGATGACGATATTTAATCTAATTGGTGGACTCAAATTGCTTTTGCAACTTATATCATGCTCTTAGGCATATTTGGAATTATATGTTTGTCATTTAGTCAGTCATTTTGGCTATTAAGGAGGTTGAGGAATTCTGAGCCGCTGTTGTCATAGTTATCTGTCTGCGAAATAATATGCACGAACGTGTTTTCTTACTTTTAAGTTTTTGTCATTGTGGCCTCTTGAACTATAAATGGGTTGGACCCTATATATCGTTTAGTATTGTTTCAGATTAGTAAAAATTGTTTATTATTTCAATTAAATTTTTTTTGGGGTAAACATCTCAATTATTCATCTTTATTATAGCATAATTAAAAAAACACCTTTCATGAGGAATCAAGAGGGGCAAAGGCCCAACCAAAAACTATGAAATAGAAACTGCCCGAGGAATAGGCTCCTACAAAATCATGAAAAACTAATTAATGATTCCTTTTAATCTTCTAATCCAAACACGCATGTGAGCCATAAACAAACTGTTGCATCATTAACAAATTTAACTACGATAACAATTATTTAAATAATTGAAATAATTTTACTTTTTATTAATACAAGATAATTATCATGCATAATGTATATTATAATAATATATGAAATGGATTTCTAGTTTTATCTTTGTTTTTAAACAATATTATCTATTAGTAATTTGGGGAAGGATATTGTAACAACTAATTATTGTTACTACCAATGTTATTACCAATCAATTTCACTGTTAGATCGATTATGTGGATCCAACAGTTATATTTATTTCCATCTTTGTATGGTTATGATTTCTCCTATTTAATACTTTATATATATTTCTATCTTTGTATGGTTATGATTTCTCATATTTAATGCTTTCACATCAAATATGGGGAATCATAACCATTGTTGTCAATAACTAGTGTAAAAACGTAAAAACTTACGTTTTTACTAGAGTGATGCGTGTTAAAATACAAGTAAAAACTGTCCTTGGTAAAAATTGGTAAATACGCCGTGTAAAAAAGTAAAGACGATAAAAACTTACGTTTTTACCGTTTTGATAGTTTTTACTTGAGACGAAAAAAAAAAAAGATTTCCAAAAAAGAAAATAAAAAGCTAATTTTCGTTTTCCCCAAATCATATGCATAATATCCTGATATCTTTTTGTTTGGATATATGTGTTTTATAATTATGTCTTATAAAGCTACAATTCTATTATAAGATATGCTATGAGAATCGTTTTGTGTTTTTGGATCATTGTGTGCATTGAAAGAAGTAAAATTATATCCTAATGAACAATGATCTAAAATCTGCAGTGTATGAAGCAATTATAGCTTATTGGATATCCATTATTTGTTAGTTATCACTGTTTATAATTTTGATACTTGGTTATCAAAACTAATTTTCCTTTTTAGATAGATAAATGGCTCAACACACATGTTTATTATGTAATATTTTTTTTACATGCATATATATATATATATATATATATATATATATATATATATATATATAATTTTGTATCTGAACCTTAAGTAGTAGAAAGTAGAAACTTTACGTTTCGTGTCGTTTCTACGTTTTACGTTTCTACTACCCCTTTCCGTTTCTACGTAGAAACTCGAGTTTGACAACATTGATCATAATCATATAAAGGTGGAAATAAATATAACTGTTAGATCAACATAATCAATCTAATGGTGAAATTGATTGGCAGTAATACTAATTAGTTGTTACAATATGCTACCCCTAATAATTTAATGTTTTAAAAAATAATTAAATTATAAATATATCTTATTATTCATTTTTACACAAAAAATTTAGATTAGATAAAATCTTTCTTTGTTTCAATATCTCTTTTGTATCTGAATTTAAGTCATGCAGTTATCATAGGATATTAACTTATTCTACATCTAGAAATAAAAAATGAAAATAAAAAATTATAAATACATCATATCACTAATTTAAATTTTTAAAATAAAATCATAACCAAAACTTACTCCAATTATATCTCTAATTGTCTCTAAACATATTATGAATCCCACGTGGTTCTATAGGTAAGTAAGCGTGAGGTTTATAAGGTCTTGAGCATTCTAATCATTTGAGCTAGCTTTTGGAGGAGATAACTTCCAGTTCCGTAACAATTGCTGCTTCCATTGAGAGTTGAAATCACAAAAGAGCTATTTATAAGCTGGATTAAGCCTCCATGAACGTCGACCCCTTAAAAGGGATGACAATGTTACGAATCTCACATCAGTTGTATAGGCTATCATCGGATCAGTGTTGATAGAGTAAAATGCACCATGGACATTGATCCTTAAAGGAGTGATAATGTTACGAATTTCATATTGGTTTATAGGCAACTAATGTAGATTTATAAGGCCTTAAACACTCTTACCTTTTGAACTAATATTTTGGGGTGGTGAACTCAAATTCCGTAACAAAACACTCATTTTTTATTGTATAATAATTTTACTCCAATTAAAAATTGTTAATTTTAATTTTTTTTATTTGTATTCATAATCACCGACTCTAATTATTTTAGATTGAAGGTGACGTTAATGAATCATGATTTATTATTATCATATTAAAAAGATAAAGAATACAAATCAATACACACGCCAGTGTAGAATAATTACATTAACAATAAATTATTGACTAAAGTTCCATTTTTTAAGAAAAAATGCAGCAATCCCTATCAACACCTACAAATAGTATAAAATTCAAAAAAATAAAATTAAAAATCTAGATACTTTAGAAATAACAAAACCAACTGAGCTGATGACAGCTTCTGGCAGATGAAATAATGTTATAGTTTTCTTCACTTCTAGATAACGCAGTTTTCTATCTTCCTAAATTTGTATGTTTTTGAAATGGATCCCTTTACATTTGAGAGGATCTTACCTGTTTATGAACACATCAACAGAGATGAAAGAGAATATCTTCACGGTTTATTTTTATTATTTTTTGGTGAAATTATCTTCACGGTTTATTAACATATCAATAATAATAAGAGAGTAGCTTAACTATTTATTAACAGAAGATAATAATAATAATAATAATAATAATAATGATAATAATAATAATAATAATAAATACGAAAGAAAAAATATTCTAATAAAAAGTAATCATTAATTATGATTTAATCATAAACATATTAAATCATAAATGAAATCATCAATTCTCGTGTGTGTTTTTATTAGAATTTAGTATTTTTATTTTTGTTATGGATAAAATATATTTCTGTCACTTTTATATAAAAGTAAATGAATCTTATTAATGAATAAATAAAATTAATAAATAAATAAAATTAATAAAATTCATTCATTTTTACGTGAATATAATTGAAATTTTTTCTAGCAACAAAAGTAGAAATATTTTTTTTTTTATTATTGATTTGAAAAAAAAAATATAGAAAATGTTTGCGAGAGGAACAAATGGGAACAAACCCACCCAGCCAACGGATATTGACATCCACATAGGAAGTCACGTGACACGTCATTCACACGTGTCGTAGAGGCGCATGCATTTGCGGCAGATCCTCCATCCAAGTGGGTCCCACGAGCAACGTCCTTTCCTTTTGTAGTTCTCTCTCTCTCTCTCTAATTTTAATTTAAAAAATAAATAAATTAGTTTCTCTATGTACTTTCTCTCTCTCTCTCTATCCAGTTACCATTATTAAAAAGGGTCCCTTCCTCGCTTCTCGTTCATGCTATCTACTCAACACAATTTGCTTTCGTTTGTTGTTGTTGTTGTTGTTGTTGTTTCTGTTCCTATTCTAGCTTGTTCCTTAAACTCTCTCTTTCAAAGTTCCTTAGAAACAGTGAAAAAAAAAAAAAAGACCAATTAGAAAACAAAAATGGTGGCTTTGGTTTCCCAAGAAAATGTTGTGACATTGGTTTCTCGTACCGGTAGGGAGTTGCAGCGTTACAGGAAAGGTCGTCGCCAAGTTGTCGGGTTCGTCTCTTCCTAATCCTCTTCAGTTCTTTAATTTTGGGAAACTGGGTTTTCATTGAAAATATGTTCTCTTCCATGTTTCATAGTTTTACAAGTAAAAAAAAATAAAAAAATTGTGTTTTTCATGGTGGGGTTTTGGTTTTGCTGAATTCTGAAAAAGAAGGCTTTTTTCTGCTATGGGTAAGTTCTCATGAAGAGAAGAATAAAACAGTTTAGAAAGCGGTATGGAATCTGGGTAATGGATACTAAGAATTTGAGCACTGGTTGGTTGTTGGGTTATGAGTTTCTAATGGGTGAACTGAACTGAAAATGAATTAGTTGGTGTATTCAGAATTGCATTTGGTGCTTTGTTGAGTTTCATTTCAATGGTTACTAATACTTTTTTTTTTTCCCTCACTAATTGTGTGGCTGCAATTGTGCTCATGCAGATGCATACCATACAGATATAATAAGATTGGGGAGAAAAATTCCTTGGATGTTTCAGATGAATTGGAAGTTCTGGTTATTAGTTCTCAGAAAGGCAAAGGGATGCTATTTCCAAAGGTACACACCACAAACTCTCAGTTATTAGTCAATAATCAACCCCCAAAATCACACATGATTTTTCCATTTATTTTATTCAATTTTCTCATTTATAATTTTCTGGTTGACCAAATCACCAGGGAGGCTGGGAATTAGACGAATCCAAAAAGGAGGCAGCTTTGAGAGAGACCATAGAAGAAGCAGGGGTGCGAGGCATTGTTGGGGTGAGGCATTTTCTCAAGTTATTGGGCTAAAGAAAATGTGATAGAAAAACCATTAGCTTTGCAAACTAAATTGCTCCCTTTTTTTTTATGTTGGTATAGGGTAAATTGGGAAAATGGAGCTTCAAGAGTAAGACACATGATACTTTCTATGAAGGGTACATGTTCCCTCTACTTGTTCAAGAGCAATTGGAATTCTGGCCAGAGCAGAACGTTCGTCAAAGAATATGGGTAAGTAAGGTGTTCAAAAATGATGTAACAGATTGAATGTCAAAGCATTTTAAATTGATGGGAGTTCTTCTTTTCTGAAAAAGTCACTGAGATTTTTTGTTTGAAATTTTCTCCTTTGGGGTGTTGTGTAGATGAGCGTCACTGAAGCAAGGGATGTTTGTCAACACTGGTGGATGAAAGAAGCTCTAGACAGATTAGTAAATCGTCTCGTGGGTCAAAAACTTGGTGGCGACAATCAAGTTCTAGGTTCTCTTAACTGCAAAGGAGATGCCAAATCTGACTTGTAAATAGTGTAACTTGGTGGAGGGCAGAGCTCAATTTTTTTGAGTTTCTCGGACGGCATGAACCTGAGGAGAAGAGTTAGGATCCAAAGAATTGAACCGAATTATAGTATAATGAATAATAGATAGTGGATTAAATAATCTTGGCAATTCAATTCCCCTAAATTTTTTTTTTCCTGGGAAAAGGGATTTATGTCTAATTGTGCGAGTATATATGAGATGTATTTGTGGGAATTCACTGCATTATTGAGAAACTTCTTGAAATCCATTTTGTAAACAAGCAAATTGCTTGGTTTTTAGTTAAGCAGGGATAAGGGGCTTTGTTCGAAAAGAAAGAAAGAAAAAAAATGAAAAGCTGCTGTAACTTTTTTTTTTCTTAACTCCTTATTTACTATGTGATATGATTATGGTTTCTGGATTTTAAGTTCACCACTTCCCTTTGCTGGAAAAGGAGGTTTTGCCTGGCATGAAAAGAACTCCATTCAAAGAAATTTTAATGGTTCCTTTATCAGGAAACCTAGTTAGATTAGGAATAATTCTTTGGCATCACAAGTGGTACGGTGCACATGTCACAACAAGTATATCGTTGAATCATATTACTTAGTCTATTATATAAGATCATAATATCTTGACATAAATAGTGTATACGCTCTTGATTTTGTTAGTTGTGGCATCATGTATGTCAGTTTTAATACCAAAGAATTGTCCTTTTAGTTATGCCTTCAAATAAGGAGCGAAGATCTATATGCTTCTTTGCTTTTGTGTACACTTTATTTGGACATTGAATTTGAAGATCTTATCAAATGGTATATGTACTTCAATTGTTTGAGGTATGACTTAAATGTATGCTCAGTCCAATTGCTACTTGAGCAATGGGAATTGAGAACGGACCATGTTAAAGAATGTAAATTGTCCCGTAGAAAAGTGATTCTGTTATGTTACAGAGATTCGTTTTGCGTGTCAGAGTTTTTTTTTTTTTTGGTTTCAATAATTGCGGATCTCACAAAATGTTGTGTGTGTAGGAAAGTTGTTGTGGTCATGTTAAATGATAGATGCAAAACCCTTTATATATATATATATATATATATATATATATATATATATATATATATATATATATGGGAAAAAAGTTTCCGATGTTACTTTAAATAACTTTATCTAATGTTCATCGAAACGACGTCGTTTTGGGGTTGAAAAATTAAAAATTTAGAGTGATAAAGATTATTATAACTCTGAAATAAATTAAAATTACAAAAATACCATGATTTCCGTCCCAAAATGACGTCGTTTTGATAAACATTAGATAAAGTTATCTAAAGTAACATCGTCAAAAACAAGTTTATCAAAACTTAAATGGCGGATAATGTTCAAGATAAGTTATTAACTGAAAGTTATTTTAATGATTTTAAATTTTATTTCTCTGATACCTGAATTTTTTTATTTTTTATTTTGACAAAACTTCAAAAAAAACCTTACGAGTTTTCTTAATTATCACTTATCCCCTTTACAAAATTTTTGAATCATTTACGTCCTTATTTAGATTTTTTTTATCACTTACCCCCTGATTTAAAGTTTTTTTTATCATTTACCCCCCTCACTTAGGGGGTAAATGATAAAAAAAATTTAAGTCAGGGGATAAATAATTCAAAATTTTGGGGAGGGAGTAAATGATTATGAGTAAAATTACAGGGGGGTTTTGAAATTTTATTTTTTATTTTTGAGTCAAAGCTAGTCCATCTAAATTAATTATTTAAGCTTATACCATAAGAGAGAAAGGGAGAAATAATTATTTAAGCTTATAGCATGAAGGATTTGGATCCTTTGATGTGAAAATTCACATGATCATGTCATACAGGGAATCATAACCATACAAAGGTGGATCAATGATAACAAAAGAGGAGAGAGAAAAAATATTTAAAGGTGGATCAATTGATTTACCTTTGCATGGTTGTGATCTTTACACATGATCCTATCATGTTTTTTTGTGAGCATCTATTTGCTACCATGAGAGAGAAAAAGGGGGAGAGAGTTTTGTTCTCCAAATATTGGACTATAGCAACCAAAAGCAGAGCAAGAGCTAAAGGGACGATGCATTGGTCAAGGAAAAAAAGCGGGGGAGAGTGCCAAAATCATGTTCATAAAAGATCAGCCTATGAAGTCTGACCAAATGATCCAAAAATTGTTGGTTGTTTCCCCCACACACAATGAGAAATCCATGGGAAAGAAGCATGCAGGAACCATTGTGAAACGATTCATGGGGACAAAAGCCACATTGTCTAGCAGTTATTAGCATTAACATTTAGCAACTAATCTATAAATGGGAAAATGATATTTCACCATCAACACTATAGACCCCACGAAAAAGGTGTCGCTGAGTTGGGGAAACACTGAACATCCACTCTTAAGATTGCCCATGTGTGGAGGAGGAATATCAAAGGAAACTCTTCTCATACCCCAAAAGCCAACCAGTGACAGTAGAGTAAGTGGTTCAGAATCAAATATACCTATACGATGAGGTGTAAACTCTTTTAAAGTTAATAAGGTTTATCTATATTTAATATAATTTAAAGTAGGGTCAAAATCATTTTACACCAGTGTAAGTTACACTTTTAATCTTGTCCGTTGATCCCACTTATATCTAAGGGTTCTAATTTTTCAGTAATGTGAGTCATTGGATACAAGTGGATCAATGGTTAAGATTGAGTGTAAGACTTCTAACTCTTACACCGGTGTAAGAATATCCTGCCCTTTAAAGTATATCATGATCTTAAATCATTAATATTTAAGGATGAGTGTACTCTTTTAAGGATTTTTCCAATTCTCAGGCTCACTTATGTGGCATGGGCCAGCATGCAGGATAAGATCAGACCATAGCCCAACTAGAGAAGGGGGACCCATAATATTTTCTTGGCCCAATATATTTGTGGACCAAAAAGCGAGCCTTACAGCCCAACCTGATTTTATTCAAAAGGCAAGCTGGTCCATTATTAACCAAAATACATAAATAAATCTAATCACCAACGATGGTAGCTCAGTTGTCACATGAGAGTAGAGCAGATAGGGTGAGAACATATATTTGATCCTGCTTAATACCATCTTGAAATATGTAGTTAACAAATCACTATCGTTGATTAACAAATCATAACTGTTGATTTATTTTTGCATGATTATGATCTTCTTACATGATCATGTCATTTTTTTTCTATGTCAGAGGATCTATTTTAATCTTTGAGAAGAGTTTAAAATCTTAATCTTAGACTCTCTCCAAACTCCAAATTAGTCCATAGAAAACTTATGGAATTATCATAGAGAAATCCAACAAATAAATAAAATAAAGATGATCCATTTGGATTTTCTGGGTATTTTGACTGATATGGAGCTAAGCAAGTTGCACCCACATATTGTCCTGATTAGGGGTGGTAATTTCAAGTCATGATCGAATTTGGTCCATCTTCTTCATGGATTGGGTAGTACATACAGGAACAAAGATTAAAATGCCACCTTTTGGCAAAAAAATTATCTAAATGTAACATCAACAATACTTTTTATCAGACTGTCACGTAAGCATAATTCGCTATGACTGGTAGCAAATTATGTCCGCCAATGATTTTTTGACACGTGGCACACTTTCGCAGAAAAAAGTTAACGTGTCATAATTTGCTACCACTAGTAGCGAATTTGGTCTGCAATATGGCCACGTGTCACAAAATCATTGGCCACGAAATTCGCTACCAGCGGTAGCGAATTATGACACGTTGTCTAGTAAAAAATACTGTTTGCACAATATTTGGGTAAAATTTTTGACACAATGTGACATTTTGGTCACTATTCCGTACATACGTCTAAGTTTGATTCTCGTGTGTCTAGGGAATGGAAAAATGAGCAAATAGGAAAAAGAAAAAAATTTACATAACTAGAAAAAATCTAAATGTGATATTTTTCTTCCCGCGGGGTAGAAAATATTTGATTAATTTATCTATTTTGACTTGGTAAATAATATAAAAAATACAAGGAAGATAAGAGATTAAAAAAAAGTAGAATATTTATACTACAATTTTTTCTGTTACCAATTCACTATCATTCTAATCATCATTGAATTAAATTTTTCAGCCGACAGTTTCTAAAGAGAGAGAAAAAAATAACTTTTAATATTAAAATTATGTACTTTGCGAAATACATATTTATAGTGGATGGTAACAAAAAAAAATAATAATATGAATATCATACTCAAAAAATAAAACACAAAATATAAGTGATAAAATATTAAACCACGTGCATGATTTCAAACTTTTTCCTTTAAAATAGAGAACCCATTAACAAATTTGTTTACATTTTTATTTTTATTTTTTTGGTAAAAGTTTACATTTTTATTTAAATACATGCAAGAGTGCCAAAAATAAAAATGAAAATAAAATAAAGATGTTCATTCCAATTCTCATTTTTTTACGAGGCAATAAAATATTTTTCTTGGACAACAAATTATTGTGGATGTTGAACATAACACCCTTTATTTGTAATGATTATATACCTCATTAGCTTGTTAAGATTTAAATTATTTCTCACATCAAGTTTTTAATTGCTGTAAGGGAAAATTTCAACAACAACAAAATCACTTACCCCATGGTGCTTCTTCTTTTTAATTAGTTTTCTCTCTTGTATTTTTGTTTTTTAATTATTTACCGGGGCAAAATGAAACAAATTAGCCCAATATTTAATGATATTAAATATGAAATTAGATGAAAAAAAACTACCAGGGAAGTAGGTGATATAAAAAAATACAGGGAATATAGATGAAAAAACTACTCGAATTTTTTGAACTTTCCGTGTTTTATATTAAGATAAAGGATAATGCTTTTTATATTTGCATAAGATAGCACAATTGTAGCATAAGTGTTACAAAACCAAGGGAGACTATTTATAATCAAGGGAAAAAGAAGAATAACGTTGTAGGAAAATTGTTAGGTTATGTTATAGAGATAGGGATTGTGGGACCCATATTTATTTTTAAAAAACAAAAACAAAATAAGTGTGGGTCCCACAATCCCTATCTCTATAACATAACTTAATAACTTTCCTACAACATTATACTTCTATTTTCCTATAATCAAACATAAAACTTGTGTAGACATGAGTAATGTTTATAAGTATTTGCTTACTGTTACTTTAGGATAAAAATTGCGTACACAATAATAACTATTCTGGATACCCACTTTAGGTTCAGCAATTGGGTTTTATGTTACTAAGTACATGTCTACAACCTTCTAGAGCGCATTCCTTGAGGAGTCATAGAGGCTCAACACAATAAATTCTCTTCTCCCCATGCATAAGAACAGTTAGGCAGCACGTCTTGTCACCTTGACAAGACAAGGCTAGTGAACAACTACATGTTTTCTCCCTCACACTGCACAGAGGAGTATCTTTTCTAAATACTCCCCTCACACATTGAAAGAGAATCTTCTCCTCTATTCTGCCTCTAG